TCCCTCTTCAAATTGCTTCTGCAGATTCATTGCATTTGCCTTGTTATGCACCCATAAGCAGTGCGAGTGTTATCAATGCCAACTTTGGCAACCTAATAATTAAAACAGACACAGAGAGACAACTAACAACAAATATAGGAAAGAATATCTTTTGTTCAGGATAATAGTTCTTTTATATGCTGTGACTATATTCCCTTCCCATATTTCCCTGTTGTTTCTACTTCCTCCTTTTCCTACCCTTGCAATCTTCATGATTTCTCTTGCCCACATGATTTTCTAAATTATCTATGTCCTAAAAGCCATCATGTATCCAAAGCCCATTGAAGTCAATGAGAGAATTTCTTTTGACTTCAACTGGCTCTAGATCAGGGCTTTATCCAATATCATTACTTTAAGAACAGCTGCCTGATGGGGCCTTGTCACACTTTCTGGAGCTACATAAATTTGTATGAAAAACAACAGTAAGAGGAGCTTGGACCTGATGTTTGGCTGAAATTTCTAGTCTACTGGCAGAGTCTCAATGGAGAGTGGGACTGGGGATGTGGCAAGGGGTCAATGAGAGAAGTCAAGGTGATGCTGTCAGTCAAATACTCTGTGGATTTAAACAGTACTTTTGCCATTGGCAGGTAAGCCAACCAGATTTCTGTACTGGGAGACGCTAACTGTCATGATCCTAAGATGCACAGTGATTTCATTACATTTAAGAATGTTAAGTAACACTAAGAATGTTGCTGTGGAAACTGATTCACTGTAATGTTGCTGGAATAGTATCAGATTAATCCATTATGCCATATCATAACAAATCCATGGTAACTGATTGACACAAGGCTGCACAAAAGGCTTGCTCCAAAATAGTGGGCTATGCTAAAGGAGAATCTCTGTTATCTGCTAGTTATATAATTCCATGCACTAAAAGTCACTCGTACACAGGAAGCAGGACACTTACAGTATTTTAGTATAATAGGTGAGATTATAAAATATTTGCATTTTTTAAAGGGAGAAAGAAGAGAATGACAATTTGTATTGGATGAATGAAGCCAGAAATGTCTTGCTCATTGACTTGGGTACAAGCATATCATAGTTTCTGCAAATATTGATGCTGCCCATTTGAGATCAGTGAGAAATCTTTAAAGGACCAGATTTTAGAGAAAGGTACTCAGGTCTTTCTGAAAATCAGGTTTTAAAAAAGGCCACAAATTAGGCAGCTGAAGTCACTGTCCATTGCTGAATATGTTAGCTTGAATTTAAATTGATCAAAGAGCGAAATGACAACCAAAGCTAACCAAAGCAAATAAATAAGCCTAGCTGGCATTTATTATAAAAAGAGTTCCACAGACATTCACACCAGTTTAAAACTGAATTCACTTCAGCTCTGGTTACATGTTTATTCCTTTTTTTCTTCCCATGGCTATTTGACCAATGAGGTTGTACTTTTGTGAATGCTTGCAGAAGATGTCTAAGATGGTAGTTCTCCAAGCACCACTCCATGTGCTACAAGATGCAGAGGGTTGAAGAGGCAATAGGAGATTCCCCTCTGCATCAATGTCTCAGCAGGGGATAATGGGTAAAGGAGATTGAAACAGAAGGAGGAACTCTTTCCAAACACTAGCCTATAAGGAGAGAGTGCCAAGGATTATGGAACCAGGAGTTGGGGGAGGCTAGTGTCCTTTCAATGCAAATATTCTGGGGGCTCTGCCTCAAGTAAATCTGCAAATGCCCAGGATAGGCACTGGGGTCGCAGGGATGACAGTAGCACTCACGTGATCTGGAGTATATTGTGGAAGTAGGAATGCATCTAGGAAGCTGGATTCAGAGGGCTTAGAATAGACTGGGAACAGGTAAGAACCTCTAGGAACTTTCCTCACAAATTGGAGCCAAGTCTCAGTGCCTTCACTTATTCCCCACATCCTGTCCCTCTACTTCCACTATTTGTGGGGCGCTTCCTTGCCCCCCCTGCAGAGAGCAGCGGGAGAGCTTTCCTCCTCTAAATCAGGGAGAGGGTGTAGAACTCCCCTGGCATGTTTGCCGAGGAAGGGGAGCTAGATTTCCCTATTGCATCATCCAAGTGTAGGAGTGGAAAGGGCCTCAATAGTGGAGCCCCCTTTGGATACTAATGTCTACTGTGGATGTGGATATCCGCAGATAGAAATCGGTAGCCACTGATCCACAGGGCTCTGCTCACAGGAAATGCTATGGGTGGCATAGGGTGCTGGCTCCTGAAGGTGGTAGCACCATGCTCCTGTTCTTTGGCCACAGCATCTCCCAGGAATAAAGCCACACGGACCAATGGATACGGATATCTATCCATGGATATTTGCATCCATGGGTACACATTTGTATCCACCCCTGTACTTAAGGCAGGCCTAAGTAATAACTAGACCACCCCTAACAAGTGTTTGTCTAACCTGTTCTTGAAAACCTCCAATTACATAGATTCCACAATGTTCCCAGGCAATTTATTCCAGTGATTAACTAGCCTGACAACAATTTTTCCCCCTAATGTATAGCCAAAACCTCGCTTGCCATAATTTAATTTCCTTCTTGTCCTAACCTCAGAAGTTAAAGAGAAAATGTTTGATCCTCCTCCTTGTAACAACTTTTTATGTATTGAAAATTGTTACCAGGTTCCTCTCGGTCTTCTACAGACTTAACCCCCCCCTTTTTTTTAAACACAGGCCATCTTTTCTAGATCTTTAATAATTTTTGCTGTTCTCCTCTGGACTTTCTCCAATTTGACTACATTGTTCCAGGAATATGGCATTGAGAACTGGACACAGTACTTCAGTTGAAGCCTTATCAGCACAGAGTACAGCAGAAGAATTACTTTTCCTCTTTTGCTTACAATTCTTTTACTAATGCATCACGGAATGATGTTTGCTTTTGTCCTTATTGACTTTCATCTTATTCATTTTAGACCATTTCTCCAGATTTTCTAGATGATTTTGAATTTTAATTTTAAACTTCAAAACATGTGTAACCCCTCCCAGCTTGATGTCCCAAATGTTATAAGAGTACTCGCTATGCCATTTTTCTAAATCATTGAGGTAGATACTGAACACAACCGGACCAAGGATCAAACCCTGTAGACCTCCACTCAATAATTAACCTTCCTTTTAATCTCTGGTTAAGTCACCACATGCTGATGAAGTTGCTTTATATAGCTGGTTAAAATTTTGAGGGGGAGAAAAGGGGCAGAACGCCACAGAAAATTTTGACAAAAACAAAAATCTCATTTTCATCAAAAATTTTAGCAGAAAATTTCATCCTTCATTAAAAACTGAAAACACAACATTTTGACCAAACATGTTTGTTTCACAAAAGAGTATTTTCTACCAAAAATTTCCTAAATAAAGTTTTGGCCTTTTTACAAGCTCTAATATCCTGTGTTTTATATAAGATGAAAATCCAAAAATAGGTTTATAGAAGAGATGGTATGATGAGTGTGTCTATAATGGCATATGGCCCATCCAAACCTTTTGTTGGCTAATATCTCCAACAACTGAAGATGGGACAGTAAATGGGGAAGACTAAGAGTTACTTCAGAGAATTATTTTCCAGGCGTTTGTTTGGAGGGTCTTACCCATATGCTTGGCATCTAACTGATGACTATATCTGGGATTGGGACAGAAGTTTTCCCACATCAAATTGGCAGAGACTCTGGTTTTGTTTTCACTCTCCTCTGCAGTGTGGGAAGTGGACTGCTATACTGGTTTGAACTCAAGTAAATAATTTTCAGTAATTTGAAGTAATTTAAATCAAGATGTAAAGACTTTAGTAATGCAGACAGAGGTTATGAGCCTACTACTGGTGTGAACAGGTGAAATTCTGCAGCCTGTGATGTTCAGGGGGTAAACTAAATAATCATTATGGTCCCTTCTGGCCTTAGACTCAGACTTTATGAGACCTGTCCACTGTTGCAGTTAACAACAGTGGTTATGGGACCACTGAAGATTATAAAAACTATAGGAATTTTATACACAGGGCACATCTTCCACCCTTGCCTATGAAGGAGAATATAATACAATGTTAACTCTTGTCCTGGACAGAAAGAATTCTACGAGAGAGAGAGAGAGATAGGGTACGTCTACACTTGCTCCCTAGTTCGAACTAGGGATGCAAATATAGCTGACCGAAATTGCTAATGAAGCGGGGATTTAAATATCCCGCACTTGATTAGCATAATCTCGCCTGCGTGCTATTCCGCTCACCAGCTGACTTGAGCCAGGAAGTGCACTCCGAGATGCATTAGTTTGAATCAAACCCCATGATTTGAAGTAACGTTACTCCTCAAAAAATAGTATCTAATGATTTAACAGTGGCATATTAGCTAATATGATATTTTGTTCATAATTATGTTTTAATTTGCACCATTTGCATTAAAGCCAGGACAGAATATGAATAAACGTGTATGATAAAGTAGCATGATGCCATGTTTAAACTTCAGTAATGCTGAAGTTTGGTGAACTAGTCCCCAAAGTGAGTATGTTTAAAACACTTTCAACAATGTGTTTTGTTATATCTCAGGATAATGAGCAGACCAAATTCTTACTTATTTCATGGGTGTAATTCCCATTTATTTGTTCAGTGATTCATCATATAGGGATTATGCTGGTGTAACTTGACACCACCTCAAAGTAAATCCAGCCCTATCCCTAAAAACAGTAAAAAACAGAGTCTTGAACCATGTTGGATTAAAGTCAATAATGTAAAATTAGACTAGACTGAATCATTTTGCATGGGAATATCCTCTGCCTATATAATTCCAGGTGAGCAGGTTAATTCCACCCAAAAACTATTTAAGGATAAAACTAATCCTAAAGAATAGGGATAATAAATAATACTCTTTCAAGCCACCATGAACTACTAATGACTGGTTCTGTTCCCCTAAGATGCTTAAAATACAGCTGGATTTTGATAAATCTAGTGGTCCACATTTTACAAAACAGTATGACTTAACAAGATTTCTACAGAATATCCACAAAACTATAGACACATCTTACTTGATCTTGATGTTGACTTGGTGGTCTGGAGTGGGATAACTTCTCTTGCAGTTTTCTGTCAAGGCCATGTCCATTCTCCAAACGAGACTCCCTGGGCTTGTCAAACCAATCTGTCTCTTCACGGCGAAGGTGATAGGCTTTGAAAATCAAGGACATGTCAAATGTTCTGACCGGTGTTGGGAGAAGGGCAACAGTTTGGCGCACACAGAAAACATGCACAATAGTTATTAATTGGCCATGCAGCTCAAGCAAACTTACAGGCAAAACTGAAGACAAACTCAAGTATAATTAAGTAGGAAGTGGCAGAAGAGACAAGAATGAGATCTCATCGGTGTGAGAACTATGAATATTTAACATTAGAAAACAAACAAACAAATATTGACCATTTCCTCTGTCTGGGTGCTTAAAAATACACTGCAGACATCATATATTTTTGAGGGTTTGCTGGCACTTAAAATGCTATGCTGCCCCACTGAAGTGCTTCAGTGTAGACACTACCTAAGACAACAAGAGGGGTTCTCCCGTTGGAGTAGATAATCCACCTCACAGAGAGGCGAGGTCAAAAGAAGGATTTTCTGATCAACCTAGTTCTGTCTACACAGGAATTTTTCACACCCCTGACCAACATAGTTAAACCAATTTAATTTTCTAGTATGTACCAGACCTGTTATGTAGCTGAACTTTCACGAAACAGTCATTATAGGAGTGACTGCTTCAGAGAGCTTTCCTCAAAGGATTTCTGCATTATATATTCACGTTTCTTTAGAGAGCCTCTGTGAATTGTTCTGTGAAAATGGAGTCTGCTTAACTAAATCATTGTTCATTCCAAAATGCAGATTGAAGAAAAACAACTCAGGTTGAAACATGGTGGAGAAAGGCTGCAAAAATTCTCATTTTAAATTCCATTCGCCGTGTCTTGCTGTACATATTTGTACATTATGGGCGTTTCTTGTACAGAGAATGCCAGTCAGGTTTTATAGTGTAAACAAGTATTGCTTCATTGAAGTCAAATGAGCTATCATGATTGATTTGTCCAGTTCCTTCTGATTTGTACCAGTGTGAAATCAGGACTTACAAGTTAAATACAATTTAAATGATAGAATTTGCAGATTTTCTTGTACATGGATATGTGTCAATATAAAACAAGATAAACTGTAGCTAATTAGAATCCCATGGAACATGTAAATTTAATGTTATAATAATTATTATAAATTATGCAATAGAAAAATATATTAATTTTTAGCAAAATCACCAGGAAATTATAAAACTAAAACAAGTTCGCCTGTCACTATAGTAACAAGAATAAATACAGTTGTTCAATGCCACAAAAGAAAATTAAAAATGCAAAACATTGTGTATTTTTTCTATTTCTAATATGACCTGAATGACTTAACAGAAGTTTGCAAAACAAACCCAATACTGTAACATTTTAGTATAACAGAAAGTTACAAATTTGTGTTTCCCAAACACAAATGAAAAATAGTTACCTATATATAAATAGATCTTTAATGTACATTGTATGTAATGTTAAAAATAATGTAAACACATGTTGAAATATTGATGCCAATAAGGTTTTTAGGACAAATCTTTATTTTGGCACAAATATTAAGAGGTCTATTTTTATCCACTATGTGCACAGCTTCCTATTGTTAAACTGTTTGACATTATTTATCCAGTAGATATGCATGGATACCATAAAATGAAATATTATCAAATGTTGATTTTTGTCCAGATAGTGATTAACTACTTCTAATGGTCCATTATCAGCTATTATGGAAATATCCTGCAGTTCACAGATTTGTGGCAAATGACTGAATGATTGCATTTATCAGTCTGCTTTATAACTCAGCTCATAATGAAACTCCAGATCAGATTTTATGCTTAAAAAATAAAGGCCTGTTCTGATCCAATATATTAATTCTGAATACCACAATCTGTATCATCATCTAATCAGGGGAAATCCTTAAATAGATTATCTCTCTCTCACAGTTAAAATAAGCTTTGCTGGATATCTCCTTTCAGAAAACCAGTGTGCTTGTGGAATTTCATATGAAGACTTTGGGTATGTCTAGACTGCAGAGTTTTTCTGGGATACCAGAGGAAGCTCTGCCGCATTCAAGGAATGTGTCTGCTTTTTTGAAAAAATTTCAGAAAAGCAGATGCGGTTTTTTGGCATCCCTGTAAACCTCATTCTACAGGGAAGAAGAGATGTTCCAAAAGAGGTTTTTTCCCCGACATTTGACCTAGTGTAGATGGGCCAATTGTCAGAAAAGCCTCTTTCAGAAGAAAAGTGGAAAAAGATACACAAATTGTGGTTCACAGTTTGCGTATCTTTTTCCGATACAACTTTGTAGCCTAGACACAGGCTTAATGGATCAAGGTTTTCTGACAAAACTGTCATGATTTTGTTCATGCAAGGAAAGCCTTGCGATTTTTTGTTTGAATTTTGCATGCTGTTGTGTGGTAGATCTGAGTTTGGAATTTTACTTAGAACCTTGAGAGCATACCCTCCCCTGTATAAGAATGGTCCTGATCCTGAAACAGAGGACTCACAGACTGATGACTGCACATGTATAAGGTCCTATTGAAGTAAATAGGGACCTATGATGGTAAACCAGTTCCTCCCCCACATTATTAACTGCATGGTCAGGCCTAACATAAGAGTGATCTCATTAATACCACTGTGCCGTCAAAAAAAAAATCCTAAATGACTAGTAACTGCTTTAATTTCTCCAGTGTTTTCCATTCCCAGGATACTTTCTGTTAGTGGATTGAAAAACAAAAAAGGAGATTCCTGATGGACTTAGAAAGAACAGCTGTGGCAACATGGAGGCATCTATAGAGACTCAGCATTTTGTAGCCTATATGTTAAAAAGCATGTTAGTATGCGTCCAGCTAAGCAAACTCTGAACCTTCAGGACCACATCCCCCGGCATGCGCAGTCACTAAGCAGCAGTCCTATATCCTCAATGGGGAAAATCAGTTAAATCAGTTTCAGGAAACATCAGATGCTCTAAACTAGTGGGGCATGGTAAAGACTCAGTGCTCATCTCAGACTTTTGGAAGTACTAGACTTCCATAATTCACCACAGAATTCACACTAGTAGCCTCATATTTAAAGGGGTAAAAATTCCTCTTAGAAGGGATGGATTAGGATTTATATTCTCAGAAGTAACTATAAGGGACTACTCATGTTAATAAAATTAAACAATATTTGCATGATTGGGGCCTGAATATTTTCATACATATTTAGTAATCTATGTGAAATAATCAATACCCGGCAGTCTTGGGCCAATAAAGATGAAATCAAAGATTTTATGGCAGTCAGAACGTACATTTTTGGTTACTCTGTCAATTAATTGTATTTGATCTAAACATTTGCAATTGCACTAACAAATTTTGAAACTTCCCTGCAGTCTTTAAAGGACAACAGTTGCTTCAGGACACAAGAATATATATTTACACCTACGTTTATGTAACAGATAGTTCATGAGCTATACAGCATGAAGGAACTATTCACATTTTTTTGAACGTTATGATGGGAATTTTCAACACATTATAGAAGAGGAAATAATTTGATCACATAATGCAGTTTTAGCTAATAGAATACCAAGAATTTTTTTGGGGGGAAGTCTAAAATTGGACTTCTAAATTCATAGGTAGGCATTTAAATAAGTAACCTGAGTTTTCAAAGTGATTTCAATGACAGCTGTTGTGGGTGCTTTGCACTTTTGAACGTTATGACATTGATTTAGATCCCTATGTATTAAGTTTGGAGTCCTACTTTATATACCCATTATTTTAATGGGATTTATGATTTATTACAATACGTTAAATACAATTATTTTACAATATATTTATGTAAGTTATTCATACAAATGGTCCAGGCTCAGAATCTGCATTTCCACTCCTATCTGCTACTTTCTATTGTATAGGCATTCCATAAGACTAAGAGAAACTCAATTGGACCTTTCTCTTTTTAGGGAGCAAAGATACTTTACAATCACTATTCTACGTTACTTGTACTGAAAAAATTGCCTCTCACAGAAGAAATGGTAGGGGTTTTTTTTGTCTAAAAAAAGAAAAGTGTAACTGACTTTAGGACTAACTGAACTATTTGAAACCATATCCATACAAAGAGACAGATTTAAAAAAAATACAAATTCAGATCTTTTATATTGGAACTGATTTCCCTCAGAAGATATGTTGTAATACTATAAAGTAACTGTTCAAAACACCACACTCTGGGCTTATTTAGGTGAAATGTTAGAGTATGTCTATACTGCACAGTTCTGAAACCAACTGGTATTTAAATCTAAGTTCTACATGTAGGCAAGGGTTAAGTGTGTAGTAACCCGGGTGTAAATTTACTGTGCATTAATTTGTTGCACATGAGTGGGCAGTGTGGACTCCGAACTGAGTATGCAATAGCAAAATGGAGTAAATCAAAGTGCACTAGCAAACTAGAAGTGAGCAACAGAAGGGGCCATATGAACAGGGCGTCATTTCAGATTTTGGACGTAAGGAACATCTTTAACCATGATTTCAGAGGCAACTTGGGCACCTGAAAGCTCTTGGTTTTCTTTGCAGATAATAGTTTATATACAATGTTCCTGTCAGATAATTTCTAATTCTAATTCTTACAAATGTAAAGGATGAAAATTAAATAAATATTAGACCCACGCAGCTCTAATACTAACATGATCACACATTATGTGTCAAGTCACTTTACAGGACACTGATCAGGTTTAACATTCTAATGTATAGCCATGCTTTGTTATTACTAACTCTTGAATATAACACTTGAAACAACTGTAGAAAAATCTAGATATTTATATCACTTTTTAGCAGCTCTTTTAACTTTTGAAAACATCTTATTAAGGCAAAAGACTCCATGAATTTATACTGCACCTGCCTGGGGCTCTAAAGGTTGGTATCCTACTACAGATAATAGACTTGAAACTGTCATCAGGATACTTTTCTGATCTTACTCAGCTGGCCCCTGATTGTAAACAAAACACTGACTCCCTGCCCCAGGGGCACTCACTGGGAGAAGCACTTCATTCCACAATAATGCTGTGCCCTTAAGAGCTCCCCCTGAGGGCACTAATTTCATTGTTAATTTACATACACCAGAACATGCAGTGCAGTAACCCTGGTCTGCCAGTGCTTGCTCCTGCCATAAGGGCAGGGGGGGGGGAGGGGATTGGACTCAATGACCTCTGGAGGTTCCTTCCTGTTCTAGTGTTCTATGATTCTATGATCTAGGGACCTGGAGAGAGGGGGGCAAGAGGAATGAGGGACTTGCCCCCCCCCACCTTCTCTTTCTGCTCAGCAGGCAGCCCTGCTGCATTTATCTCTTGCCAATGCTGTGCATAGCTGTCCCAGTTTCTGGACCCAGTGTTGGCCCCACCCAGACCTTTTCCCATGAGGCTCCCACCCATGGGGCAATAGCATATAGCACTTGCAGGAGAGTGATAGGACCAGGCTGTGGATTTGGGGGACTCTGACCCCGATTGGAGTAGGTCTGGATGAAGCAGGTGAACCATGACTAACTCAGGCTCATCCATAGTAATGCCCCTGATTTGGAGCTAATATCACACAGACTTACTCCTATTTTCTCCCCGTACAATCAGAGTCTCTGCCCATTCCTTTACTAGCATCATCTCAAGTCCCATATAAAGCTTACCACCATTGTCGACCTTAAACAACTCTATCATTACCAGCATCTTTGCCTTGACCTTCTCCTGTTATGGTTCTTGGTGCCAAACCTGTACACATGCTGCCCTCCTCAATTCCCTCTTTGTTCTTTCTCCCATGCTCTTCTTTACGCATTCTCTCCTTGGTACAAATTACACTCAGAACTCCTCCTCCTCCTTCTGTTACTTCAGCTTCTAACACATTTCTTTCATAGAGAGAATGACCTGCCAAAGAGAAGATCCTTACCACTGACTTTGAGGGTTGTGGGACTGGGATGGTACATCTGCTTGGGAACATCTTCAAACTCAGTGCAACATCACGTACTCAAAAATACAAAAATCAATACTTCTGCCTGTGACCATTCCCTCTCTGTGCAGAAATAACACACAAGCTGCACACGAAGTCTAATGGCTACCTATGATTCTAGAAGGCAACAGATCCTGGAGCATCAAACTCCCATAAGCTAGAAGGTCTCTTCCAAAAAAGGAATGGTAGAGGACCAACTGTTTTAACAAGACTGGTTTGTGATGGTCTCCAGGGTGAGGTGAGCAGATCTTGAATGTGAAAATCCTGGGCACCAGTCATAGGAGGAGAGAATGGTTGTTCCAGGACTGGATTTTGTGAGCCATGGGAGGATGAGAATTAAATAGAAGCCTACTAGTCCTTTTTTTCTGCTAAAACATTGCTTCTGTTCCTTCCTAGCTACCTTATAACTTTGATTCTATGGGCCAAGAAAGTTGACTCAAGGACTTAAGCAACAGGGCTCATTGGACAGCCTCCAGAATGGGAGGAGAGGAGAAGCTGAGTGTCGCCATATGTCAGGCTGATTGGGGGGGAGGGAGTGTGAACCTGGAGGTGCACATGCACTGAATGAGCCTGATTTCTTTTTAATAATAAAGCTCCAGCTCCATTGACTAATAGCTCCCAGCGTTGACCAATCTGCAAGGCATTATGAGAAATGAGACAAAGAAAAGTCACTTGTAAAAATGACAGGGCTTTCAGTATAAGATCAGAAAAAGGGGGGGGGGGCAGCAAGAGTTCTCAGGGACATGTAGTCAACCTAATAATGAACAAGCTGTGAACTGAGTTAGTCCCAGATTCAGAACCAGATCAAAACCAACTCCTACATCCTAAGAATCTCAAACAAATAATTTAATGGTACAGGCATAGCAGTATTACAAACTACTGTGGTTTTATCCATGATCTGTTTTTGTACTACAGAACAATAGAGGAAAGACTGACTTTTTAGATAGATTTGGCATCCAATGCCACTCATTTTAGCTCCAACTGACTTCATTGGAAAGTGCTGTGGTCCCATACAGCCTTATTCTCCAGTATGCAGATCTCATTCCGTGATGGACTGATTGTCTTCATCTTCTTTCACGTGGAGTTGAGGGCACTCAGCACAGTACAAAGGAACAGAGCACTGTGCAGAATAAGGCCCTTAATCATGAAAAAAGCTTCAAGGTCAGACCCCAAAATGCAAAAAAACTTACAGGACAATGATTTGCAGTTTATCAATTTATAATAGCGAGAGATCAAATGAAGGGAAAGCAAATGTTATTTATCTTCCAAACCAAGACTTCCCCTTTGGATTTCAAAGTGATACAGCTTATGAAGAAAGGGAGCAATGTTTTTTTTCAAAATAATAAATTTGGATTATGTGTAAGTACAAGAAGAAGCAATCATCCCTACTTCATAATCATGCAAATAATTCATTTGTGGTAATTATTTTCACTTACAAACAATATAGTGCATGCAAAATTTTGTTTTTTATTTTGCAGTAAATACACACAAGAAAAGTTAACAGAGCACATACAATGAAAAGCAGATGAAACGTGCATTTCCTTTTCTTTCAGAATGACTATGATTTTTAAACACTTTGAAAAGGTTTTCAATTTGACTAGAGACAAACCAAGTGAATGGATAATTTGTAGGTATTTAGTATTTAACACCAGCTTAACATTCTGCTGTACGTATTTAAATGAAACACTTTTTAATTATACCATTTATAATACATCAAAAAGATTCCTGTTCATGAACCTAAATTAGATGAGCTCTTGTACTTCTCCGGCAGAGGTCTTATATGGGGTCCACATGAATCAGTTAAGCTGGATAACCCATAAGTGGAAATTTATTGATGAATGAGGCTACCTTGTGCCATCTGAACAATAAATTTTCTTATATAATCACAATTCTGAATGCACTGAAGTCCATATGACAAATATATTTTAACAGACCATTCTTAGGGTGTTCATTTGCTATCACATTAAGCTCTTCACGGTTCTAATACACAATACTGACTTTTAGCACACAGTACTCTTGCTTATAAGGTGCAACTATAACTCTATATGCTTCAGAAATTGGAGTTACTGAATCTTGAAACCCAAAATTAAATTTTATGCATCCAGTTTTTTTCTTACTAGTTTCTTTTGTTTTTAAAGATTTGGAGACCGCATCATCAATTTTTCAAGAAAACGGTAAAAAAAAATCAGCACTCAGAATTCAGAGAATGAAGCCCCATGTAAGGATTGAAGAGTATGGAGTACACTTTATAATACATATTATTCTATTTATATAATGCCTTTATAAAAGTAGACACCAGCAAATAAAAAGGAAAATGCACAAGCAAACCAAAAGGAAACCAAATCAACAACAAATGACTTCAGCACACTATTATATATATATCCAAGCACCATCCCAAATCTGCTTTTAGAATAAAACAAACAAAACAAAATAAAAAAAGCGATACAGAAAAGATGCACAAAGGAAGAAAAAGAAGAGCAGGTCCTTGTAAGATGTGAAATATCAGACGCATGCATAGAAATGAGGATTTGTGCTGTGAGAGTAATATAGCAGTCTGATGCCTAGTTTACCTTCACTGTCTGACATGGCATGCTGAAAGTCATCCATGATGAAGGCTATATCCCGATCATACCCACGAGTCCGTGACTCTTCCCTCATGTGCTGCTGGACCTCAGGTAGTGAATGGCTTGATCCAAACTGCTCCCGAGTATCTGCAGATATTGGTGGCAGGGGTCCAGCTGAAGCTCTTGCCATTCCCATTGGCTGACCAACAGGACTTAAAGGGCTCTCTTCCTCTGAGTTCTGTGCTACTATTGGGATTCTTCCCCTGCTTTGGCTAATAGGTAGACTTGTAGGTTTAGTTCTTCCAGAGGGAGCTGCATGACTAAAAGAAATATCTAATGGTTCAGACTCTTGGGCTTTCAGTCTTAAAGAAGAGCTAGAGGAATCTCTTTTTAATGATAAATCAAGTCCATAAATGGAAGAGGGTCTGGATGAGGGCCTTGATCTACTGCCACTACTATAGGATTTATCAGTTTCATCTTGCAATGTGGATCTCATGGTTGGTCCTACTGTTGTCCCAAGGTTGGCTCCAAGGGATGATGTCAGTGATGGTCCCATAAATTTCTGTTGGTCTGTGATATTTTTTCGAAGGCCAAAAGTGATATCATCCTGAAGAAGCCTTGCCCTGGAGGTAATGCCCCCAAGTGATGAAGTACTGGAGGTCAGATAACTAGAATAATCAGGCTCGAGGTCTCGGCTTTCCTGGATAGGTGAAAACTTTGACAGTTTCGGGTCTATCAAAGCTTTCTTGTGCTTTGACTGCTTCTGGTAGAGGAGGGCTGCTGGGAGCTGCTTGGCCGCCTGTTTCTCAAGTGTGAGCCTACTTATGCTGTATTTCTCAGATTTGGGGAAATGCCTGTAGCTGCTATCTGCATGGTAATACTGAGAAAGGCCAGCAAGGTGATCAAGGCTTTCTGCACCCCTGCGGAATTCCTGCTTGATCTGATGTTTTAGAAGCTTCAGCTCATATGGATCTTCCATTGGATCTTCATCAGCTTTTACATAAGTATGTAATCGAGAAGAAGTCTGCAGTGGTGCTAGGAAGTCCGTCACTTCCTGTGCCCTCCGGGCTTCGGTGGTTCGAAGAAGCCGATCGGTTTTTGTCAGATCTTTCTCGTGAAGGCTAAAAGCAGAACTCAGTGCTGCTGTTCCCTTTGTAAGCTCTCCTATGTCATCGATCAACACATAATTTCGTGGTGTGTGGTGATGGTCTATGTCTGCATAGAATGAATCTGCAGATATGCTTGATATGGGACTGCTAGCTATGCTGCTTCTTTCATCCAGCCCTATCCTTAAATCCAAGGTATTATATTTGCTGCCAAGATGGGAAACTGCATAAGTACTATCCGTGGAAACAGGTGCTATCATGAGAGGCTGATTTCGAATCACATCATAGTTTGTTGTTATCTTAGGCTCCAAATATAATGTTTGCCTTGGCTTTTGCTGTAGCACCATCATTTGAGATGGGAGCTGATATGATGACTGTTGGGTTAGTGGAGGCTGCGTTTGAGGAGTAAAGGACATGGTAGCCACAGGCTGGAAGGCTGACTGGGTTTGATAGGGTGAAACCTGTTGATGATATAAAGTCTGTTGTTGTTGGTAATGTGACTGTTGGGTATATTGTGTTGGTGCTTGGGTAGGAAGAGGAGGAGAAGAATATTGATATTGTGTATAAGGGCTTGTAGGGGGAGCAAACTGAGTTTCTGGCTGGGTCTGCGGTGGAATAAATTGATTAAATTCTGTCTGTGGTGCAGTTCGTGGTCTTTCCAAGCCATGCTGGGCTTCTAGTCTAGTAGGCCTGGTATTATTAACTTCACTATCTGACATGTAATCACGTTCCTCGGCTACTCCTTGGAGATAGGCACGCTCTCTCTTTTCTCTTTCCTTTAACAAGGCTTCTTTCCGCCTATTGATGCCCATTTCCAAGTACCGCAGTTTGGCATCTATTTCTTTTTCTTCCTCATCTAGCTCTGCTTGCTTCTTCCTAAGCTTGGCTGACTCTCGTTCTACCAGATCCAATTCCCTGTCTATATCTTGGAGAATTTTAGCTCTGGCCATGGTGTTGGTTCTACAGATCCTTCTGCGTGAAACTGACCCCACAGTAGCGAATGCAGACTGAGTCCCTGTGGTAACATCTTCTGGAGGTGGGTTGGGTAAAGTTCTCTTTACCTTCTTCTGGGTACCTGATGTTATAGCTGAAGAACCTTTAGCCTACAATGAAACAAACAAAACTGAGTCACTATTCTGGAAACATGAATTTTATTAAACTGCAGGCTAGTAAGAACCCTTTTTAGCATTGTTTCAAAGTAGGCAACAGAAAAAGGCATACAATGACACATTCAGAGCCAGTTCAGAGAAGACATAATTCAAAACAGGGCAAGCACCAAATAATTGCCACTTGTTCCTTACATTGCACACCGGCCTACTACTTTTTCTTTTGTAGACTAAGGTTCAGAATTATTCTGTTAGCTTTCCTTCTGTCCCACTGAGTTTTTGATTTGCTATTTTATCTTATATTCATATAGCTACATACTCTCATACACATTCAGTACCTATATACACACATCCATATGAATGTGCTCCCTCTCATAACGTCACTGGGCCAGCTCCTGATCCCACGCTAAGCATCCATAACTCATACTGAAAGTAAGTGGCTGCAGCAGCTGTTTATAGAACCAGCATGTCTCACTGGAGAACTGGAGAAGCTGTGACTGATCCTCTGGAGAGTCACTGGTACTCTGTCCCCATCACCACAGCCTGCCTCACCCACAGCTGTGAAGAAACCCCTGCTGGGCAGAGCTTTGTTCTGCACAAGATATGAGCAACACCTGCTTGGCTGCCTTCAGTCCCCTTACACAGGGGAACTATTTTAGTTCCAAAGCTAGGAAAGCAGGAGCAAGACACGAAACAAAGAGAAGTCCTAGAAGGATCTATGAAAATAGAAGGTGTGAACTCTTGGTAAATTTTGCATAAGTTCCCAAGTCACTTTCAAGTGAAGTAGGCAGTTTGAAAATATGTAGCTATTGAGTCACTTAGGTGCACTGGAATTTTTACTCTATCTCCCTAATAGCCCCACAAAAGCTTTGCTTTGTTAAAGACCACAGGATGTGGCCTTATGCTTATATGTAGAAAAACCACTACAGTCACCATAAAAATGCAGTCACCTTGACGATGGAACATGAAAACTATTTAAATTGCTTGTATATCCTACAAAGCAGCTGAAGAAGGAACTGAAGAAGAATATTATATGTCAACTAGATACCGACTTCTGTATGTGCAACAAAAGTGTAGCACTCTAGCAACTGTTAATTTAAAATTAACTTTTTGCTGAAGTAAATGTTACTTCAATCATAGAAGAAGACAGTAAGATTAATTTTAATTACCACTGGAGATATTTATTACAACTGTAATCTGTCAACAGATAGTTTAAGGGGCTTAAAAAAAACCCAGATGTGCTGACAACCTTCTTTACTGGCCCCCTGTTAACACTAATCTTATCATGTCACAATAATCAACCAAAAGTCATTTGTCTTGGGTCTTTTAACAAACTTTCACTGCCTTCTGAAGTGCTATTTAAAGCTTCTCCTCATCATTTAAATTCCATCAAATTTTGCACGCTTTGCATTTCAATATATGTAGTTTTGATTTCAAATTCCAGTGGCCATTTTCCAAACCCATACTGAACAAGCAAATCAAAGAAAGTAATTTTCTCTTACTCAATGCACAGTTATAATCAAAGACAAATTAATCATCTACAATAGGTCTAGCTGGCTGTTAATTTATACTGTAAATTCAGCCTCTAGCTATGTTTCCTTCCTCCTCCTCCCAACCTGAAATAGCAATCACAAGCCAGTGACTGATATTGGGAAAGAGACATTAAATGCAAACTCATTAAAGGTATAAGATACTTTGAAGAATAATTATGCTATGATGTTGGCAATGCTGGTGAGTAAACCTCTACATGAGTTTATACCACATTTGATTAACAAATGCGCCTTGTTTTCATTTCACACACCACACACAATGAATGAAGATTTAGAAAACAAAAACAAATTAAGGGACTGATCTTGCATATCCTATCTATACTGCACACTTCTTATGGGGACATGTAGCCCAGAAAGCATAAGAGTAAAAAATGGTATAGATGGTAAGGCCTAGCTTAGATGAATGAACACCCGCCTGAAGCCCATTGGCATGGACCCATTTATGTATCCACAAGGTTCTCACCTTGCAATGGCAGTGTTTCCCCATCGATGCAATGTCCTCCACCCTCTCCAATGCTGAAGCCTTACTCCTTGCAAAGAAGAGACTCTGGAAGTGAGGACAGGCTCTGGCATGGAGAGGCAAGGGGACAGGCTCTGGCACAGAGAGGCAAGAGGAAAGACTCTAGCATGGGGGAGGCAGCTGAGAAATGTTCTGCCAGCTCACCCTATGGAGGATTATAATGACTTTGCAAGTGGGGAAAGGCTATGGTGGGGGAAAGGGTCCATCAGCTAGGAGATGCCTTTCCCTCCTGTTCGTCCTCCACCATAGCCTTTCACTGGTATGTGTTGCTACACACTGCAGCATTAACACAGCTTCCTTTTCACTACATACCCGTCACTAATGTGCAGAACCAATGTATGCTCAGAAGAACTAAGCATCTCCAATGTGATGAATTCTCCGCATGTCATGGGATAGGACCCCCACTACAAAGAACTGATCAGTCTCACGTTCCCATACATGTGTGTTAATCTCTTTATTTTTAGCTTACATATCATTTTCTCTATGTGTGGGGCAGGCACAGCGAGCTTAGTTATTTTTGTGTCCAGTTTACATTTGGATGGGGAGAATGATCAATGATGTGAGCAATATTGTAGAGTTTGGGTAATAGCAGTGGGAGTTTCTAGCTGTGGCCCAGAGAAGTTCTAATGAAGTGACTGAGTGTATCACACAGTAGTGACAAATAATTTTTTGTGTTTTATGCAAATTTGTGCACAAAAAAGGAAATGTATGTAAACCATAGAAATTGGAAACTGAAAGGACCTATTAGACCATCTAGTCCACCTCCCTGCCAAGACAGTTTTGTTTCTATAGTACATGTTCTAGAGCAGTGTCCAGTCCAGTTTTAGTATGTCCCAGGGGAAGGGCTTCCACTTCTTTTCTTGGAAGTCTATTCCTCAGCCAGGAATCAGTGGGGGAATTTCCATGGCTAAAGGCTGTGATGGAGACAGAACAGATAATGATAACGGTCCCTTTTGGCCTTAAAAATCTATGAAGATTTTCCTTATATTTCACCTAATTTTTTATGTTCTTCATTTCATCCTCTTGCTCCTCTCTTCCACCCTAATTAATGACTTTGGCCTAAGGTCCAAACTGTGGTATTTAAACACTGGTCCAATTAGAGAATAGTTTATATCTAAATAAGACCTCAGGAAGGAGTAATCATTTGCTCTGTTTCTTGTTCCAGTACTCTAAAGTAAAGGGTGGAACTTTAGTCACTTAGGTGCATTGGAATTTTTACTCTATGAGTATGTCTAGACTACAAGCCTCTTTTGAAAGAGAACGTCTTGACTACAGCCAATAATTTCGAAAAAGTGAGCCGCTTTTTCAAAAGAGAGCACCCAAGCAGTCTGGAAGCTCTCTTTTGAAAAGCAGAGTTCACGTTCAATAATGCCTTTTTTCAAAAGAGCACTTTCAAAAAAAGGTGTTATTCCTCGTAAAACGATGTATTTCAAAAGAACACGGCAGCAGTCTAGACGCAGGGGAAGTTTTTTTCGAAAAAAGGCCACTTTTTTCGAAAAAACCTTGTAGTCTAGACACATTCTATTTCCCTAATAGCCCCACATAAGCTTTGCTTTGTTAAAGACCACACAATGAGGCCTTATGCTTACATGTAGAACAATCACTCCAGTCACCATAAAAATGAAGTTACCTTGATGATGGAAAATGGAAACTATTTAAATGTCCTTGTATACCCTACCCTCACCATTTTTGTTATTGAGTTCAGTTCAAGGTCTGAATCCTTGTTTTCATGGCATTCAATGACCTGGGCCCCAGGATGTCTAAAAGAACTTAAAACTTGGGCATGAGGAATGTGATTGATAATTCCACCCTTGTGGCACAAAGTATTTTTCTACAATAAGGATAAAACCTGTCTGTGAAGGAGAAACTACCCTCCCTGCCCCCCTTACATGCCAAAGGTGGAGTGCATTTCTTAGATTTCCCTTTTGTAATATAAATACAGAGAAATATGTACATAACTCCCAAAAAGAAACAAAGAAAAACAAACCTAACACAACACTCCACTGAACACACAACTGCCCCCCTGGGGAGTGGATGAAAGACCAAATGTGACAGATGTTAGTTGTATTGCTTAATATTCTGTTGAAAAGTGCACAGACATTATAGCATAGATGGGGAACCTAAAGCCCAGGGACTGTATGCAGCCCCTAAGGCTAAGGGCTCTCCTCCAACATTGGGGATCCTTTGCTGGTGCTCCAGTCCCACTCTCTTCCTCCTCCTGTGGGGCTGGAGCACACAAAATCTACTAGCCTAGAACCCGCCTAGGTGCTGGTGTGCAAGGGGAATGTGGGGAGTGTCTTTCTCCTCAATCAAGGGCCACATCGGTGAGGGTTTTTTGGGGTTTTTTTTGGCTTCTCATTTGTGTGTGACCCCTGACTGATTTTTCTGTGGGTCAGCAGCCCCAGACCCAAAAAAGGTTCCCTACCCTAGCACTCCAGTGATGAGAGCAACATTAGAATAGATCATGTTTACTAGCAACTAAAGTAATAGAGATTTAGGCCAAAATGACCATTAGATTATCAAGCCTGACCTCCTCTATATCATGGGCCACCCAGCACCCACACACTAAATCCTACCACTAATCTTAGACCAACGTACATGAATCCCACAGGAGAAAAGCTGGAAAAGAGCTTCCAGACTGGCGTGATCCTCCGGAATAAAGCCCTATTCCGGAGGATCTCTTATTCCTACTTGCAAGGCTTTATTCCGGAGGATCGCGCCAGTCTGGATGCTCTTTTCCGGCTTTTCCCCAAGCCGGAAAAAAGCGGCGGCCATGTTTATTTAAATCCCGCGGAGGATATTTAAATCCCCCGCGCATTTCCCTATTCTGACTTCTCTCATTTCCATAGCTATTACGGGTTATGTGGCCAGTGTAGACACAGCCAAAATGTATTGTCTTCCCTTTTTAGATTATATATAAATCGTAT